TGGAGCAGGTGTTTGAGATGAAAGTCAAGGAGAAGATCCAGAAACTGAAAGATTCAGAGGCAGAGGTACTGACAGCACAATTCCTCGACATGTCCTAAAATGGATTAGGTGATAAAACTAAAAGAATAACATCTTTATATAAATATTATTTATTTTATTTTATTCCGAACCATAGTTTGGACCACATAGCCATTGCAAATTCCAAAAATAAGTAAAACAGTAAGGATATAAATTAAAAAATAATGATGTTATATTTGCACTGGTCAACACAATGATAATTAATCATACTTTCATTTATATTTACTATATGCACATTTCCACACCAGGGCTATTATAGTTAAACTAAAACCATTAAAAAAAACCTGAATAAAATGAACTAACTGATTTTAAGATTTTTATTTTATTTTTTTAATTTTTATTTAGTTTAAATTGATGTACTAAAATAAATTAAAGTAAATGAATTAAAACTGTATATTTTAATAAAAGAATAAAAATGACAAACGTACTAAAAAAAATTAAATGAATAAAAATAATCCCAGGGATATTATACTATATAGACTAATTTTTTTTGTTTGTTTTTTTAAGACGACAAAAAAAAATTTTTTTTAACTAAAACCCTAACTAAAAATAAAATAGAAAATATAACAATAAAAACGTATTCATAATATTAATTAACTATAATAGTATCTCAATGATACTGAAACGCACAAGTTCGAAATGCTTTTTTGCTCTTTAGTTAAATTCTACAATCAGTGTCTGCTGTCTGCTTGGTGTACTTGATTTGACGGGCAATAACAGAGCCTGACCTCTTGTTTCTGTGTGGCCTGTGCAGCTGCAGCGGCGTCATGAGCAGATGAAGAAGAACCTGGAGGCTCAGCATAAGGAGCTGGAGGAGAGACGACGTCAGTTTGAGGACGAGAGATCCACCTGGGAGACCCAGCAGCGTATCCTGGAGCAGCAGAAAATGTATGTGATCCGATAAATTAAATATGTAATATAAAAAATTTTTTTATATATATATATATATAATAAAATATTTTTAAAATAATATATTTAATATATGATGTAATTTTCCCTCTGCATTTCTAAAATAATGCATCCCTTGCTCGGAGCAGTTTTTTTTGTTTGTTTTTTTTATTGTTGTATTTTTTTCTCCACAACAGGACTTTGGAAAAGAATAAGAAGAAAGGGAAGATCTTTTAAAATCTTTAATGATGAGCAGGTTGTTCTCATTCGCCAATCCCCCTGACCTGATATCTGTGTAGCCTTCAGACTCCGAGCTGTCCTTGCAGTCTGACCGAGGCGTTCAAGCTGTTCGTGGACTTCGGCTAAAGCGTTTACCTTTGTGAAACTCGGTCTTAGGCAAGCCAAACCCATACCGATCTAAACGAAATATATAATGCATTCACTTCCCAGCTGATGTCTACAGTTATATTGGAAAACTGAACTATATTTTGGTGATAAATTGTTTACTCGTTAACTGAATAACATGAACCTCTATAACAGAAGTGCGTTTTTTGAAAAAGAAAAAAATGTGACTGTGCTCTATTTTCCCTGGATGAAGAATCCCATGTAACGTGGCCAAATTCTACAACTGTAAATGCACAAGTGACATCCAGGGACGGGCAAACGTATTATTTGCTGTTTTGGCTTATAATTTTGTTTTTCTCTTATTGCAGAAGTGTTTCCAAAGTATAATGTCTGTCTAGTCAATATCCTTTGACCACCTCCTATAACTTCATTAATGTTATTTCAGTTATTTTTATATATATATAAATATGTATACGTACACCAAGACAGCTAACGTAATATTTTTTGTATGTTTTTTAATACTCAGCAGACGGGTGTCTTAATTCATGGACGGGAACGGTTGTGCTCATGATAGAGAGGTTTCAACATGTTTGTCTGTAAGCTCACCTCTGCTGTACAGTATTTCAGCTGTTAGGACACCAGTCCAAAGCAATTTTTGTTTTGTAATGTTATGTTCTGCGTCTGTATTTTTAATTGTATTTTTCGTTTGTATTGTACAGTCTCTTAATAAACTTGTGATGATACAGGGTGCTCATTTAGATTGCTGAAAGATCTCAAATAGTGTTGCAAGACTGGGAACCGTCATAAGTTGTTGTTTTTTTTAATAAACATTCAAATCTAATAAGAAATATACCTACAACGTTTTTGTACAAGAAACACTGATCATAATATTGAAATTATTTACGGGGCAGTTGTCACACTTTCATCACTTGTTATCCCCTTGTATCACATTAAAAGTATAGTGTTGCTCAATATTTAATAATTAAAATGTGTTATGTTTGTGTTAATTAATAATGACCGTTTCCGAATAGGTTTTACAGTTATATGGCAGTAATACATTGAACCTTCAAGAATAATTCATGTTTAAAGTGTAAAAAGTAAAAGTGGGACCAACATTATAATTATTTATTAATTAATTAATTGATAAACAGTCTTTGACTTGGTATGTTAATAAAATAATGCTCGTTACATATTTTAGAAGTCTTGCAAATTGAATGGCATTTGTGTTCAAAATGAATTTAATAATAATTTTTTCTCTAGCTCAGTGGCGTCTGCCATCTATTTACATTTAACCAACAAATGCATCACAATTTTAAAGAGCCAATAAATAAAAATCACTTAAAAGTGAAACGGTCGCTCTATTATCGCTCAAACTGATTTGTGAATGAATCGAATGACTACGTGTGAACCGTTCTAGTTGTTTGGTTTAGTTTGTATTTGTGTCCGTTTAACATGAGCGCAAGCCAAAGAAGTTGCAAAGAACATGGAAATGTGTCACGTGACAGTATGACTCTTCATCATGCTTTAATCGTTATTCAGCACTAGGTGGCGGTGTGGGCACATTACCAATCCTTCCTCATTCTTTTGGATTGGAGACGTTGAAACTACTTTTGTTGGGAGGTAAAACATTACTAGTTCGTTGACACACTAAGACATTTTTAATTGTGGCTTTAGTGTCCAAATTGTTTTTGGCGCAACTGTATTTATATATATATATATATAAGACAAATGCAATTTCCCAAATAACTATTATCTTGTTTTTATTTTTAATTGATTTATTTCAGAACAGAGCGTTATCAGTTTCAACCGGACGTTTTGGACCAAAAGTATGGAGGACGAAACCTGCAAAAATAATAAATAAATAAATACGCAAATAAATGTATGTATAAATACACAAATTCTTGTTTAAATACATATAGAAATAATTAAACATGTGATTAAAGTAGGCAAATAAATAAAATAAATTGGTGGACAAATGGAAAATGTTTAAGGAAATGCTAAACTCATCCTATTTATTTTCCTTTGATCACTCATTTATTTCTGAATGTAGTTCCGCATTTATTTTTCCTCTGCACAACATGCTAATGAGAGGGTGTCAACCATGTAGGTGCAGGTTAAAAGCTTCAACAAAGTCACAGCGCTCCTAGAAGGATCCTAAAAGAAAATATATGTCATTAAAAACGTTGTGACAAAATATGCTGTAGTGCTATGCATGTGGAAAAAGGAAAGGAAAAAACTGACAAACCTAATTCAACCACATTCCGTTTTCCCATTAGACCCACACAAGTCTGACATTTCTGCCCTGGAAGTCATTTGTAAGATAAACCACATTATTAGATTTGATTCACACACGATTCAGCATTAGCAGCCGCTTTGTCTTTTAAATGTTCTCTTCTCTTCTTGAACACATTTTATATATATATATATATATATATTTCTGTTGGCTGATTATTTTAAAGGATTTTTTAGCGGCTCTATTTATTCATCTTTATTTTTACGTTTTTTAATTTGTTGATTTAATATCATTTTAAAATACTATTTACTAATCTTAATGATCAATATTTAATTTATTTTAATTAAATTGATAAACTTAATTATATATGATGATTGAATATTCATGTAATTAGATTACTTATTAATACATTCATTAATAATAATACATTTGAAAGTGCGTGCTGCACAGGATGAAAGAAAAAGGAAACACGAGATGCTGATATGATGAAAGAAAAAATATTAAACTGGTGTTATCTTGGACCTCCCATAAACCCCCGTCTATTTCAGTTTGGCTCAAAGATTTGGTCTTTTTTTTAAAACTTGAAAAAATTAAGTACAATATCAGAGGTAGGGGGGAATCTTTTTTTTGAAAAGTTTATCAATTTTCCAACCATTTATAACATTATTTAATGATTTACAAATCTTAGACGTGGATTGAGTGGAGGTATATATGTATACCCCTTATTTTATTATTATTATGAATTTGTTTTATGTGTTTTTTGTATTTTGTAATTGTATTTAGTTAAAAAAATTTTTTTTTTTTTTTCAGATGTCGTGTTTTAATTGGGGATTGCTTTGTTGGGGCTGGGTAGGGGGGTATATGGGGGGGGGGGGGGGATAAAATGTAAAAATGCAATTAGCAACAATAACAATTCTATGGTAAAAAAAAAAAAGAAAAACTATTAAAATATTTTTGTTCATTGAAATAAAGCTGGAATAAAATAAAATCTAAATAGATGGGAAAAAAAATTAAAAAAAAATTAAAAATGCCTTGGCAACTAAGTATAAGTATAAGTTGAAGCACTAAAATGACAAAAAAATGTAAACTGACAAAAATAAAGTAAGGCTAAATAGATGAAAAATGAAATAAATGCAATGAAAACTAAAAATATAAAAATAAAAGCTAATATCAAAATAGCAATAAGTACTATGATCGTATATAAATAACAGCAAATAACGTTTGAAGAAATAAAATATTAAAGAAAGCATAAAATAAAAGTCATTGAAATGGTTCGCAGATTAAATAAAACTAAATAGATTTTCCATTCGTTGCTGTTTTTCATTCTTTCTAAGGTTTGAATGCATGTTGAATATTTATTTTGTATGATTCTATTTAGTATTTTGCATCTCCTTCTCGTCTCTTATTGGCCATTTGGTCGTGTCACTCAAACCTGCCAGGCCTCCGTAGGTCACGCCCCCGCGTTTATCTAAATGAGGAAGAACTTGAATTAAAAGTGAAACAATGTAACGTTCGAGATACACAGATTCGGGAGCGTGTGCAGTTCACGTGCGTGTTCATAAACAAAGAAATGCCCGTTCTCAGCTGAAAACCATGTTTTATTGTCGATTTCTGCTGCTTTGTTTTTATCTGTTATATTTCTGCGCTGCGTTTCGCGTTAATGCAACGTCTCCTCCGAGAAATGCGAAATCCTCTGATAACCTGCAGCACACAGACTCTGCGGAGCAGAATGCAGGTAGCACCAGACACAACGGAAGGTCCACTGAAGGTCTGGAGGGGTTCGAACCTGGTGATGTTGCTCCTGCTTTCCAGGTGCAAACTCTGGACGGAGTGTTTATTTACAGTCCTCAGAACGGCTCGAGGAGTGCGCTCGTCGTTCACGCGTTCACCAATAAATCCGCCTTTCTGGAGTGTCTGTGGACGTGGAGCGAGTCTCTGTCGGAGCTGCTGACATATCTGCCGTCCAGCACTGAAGTCCTGCTGCTGTCCCTGGATGACACTGCGCTGCAGGACGCGCTCTGGATGAGAGAGCAGGTGTACAGAGCCGCAGCTCACGGGTACAGACACACATTCAGTATCACATTAACATCTCACACCAACACTGTAGCTTGCTTGCTTTCTACCACAAAGCACCACGTTTTATTATGATTTTGGACAACATGATACTGTTGTATTCTTTAAAATTACTTTGGAGAACCATTTCAATTATTACCATATAGTATACACATATATAAACATTCACTGTAGCGATAGATAGATAGATAGATAGATAGACAGACAGACAGACAGACAGACAGACAGACAGACAGACAGATAGATAGACCGATAGATAGACAGACAGACAGACAGATAGATAGATAGAACGATAGATAGACAGACAGATAGATAGATAGATAGATAGATAGATAGATAGACAGATAGATAGATAGATAGACAGACAGATAGATAGATAGAACGATAGAACGATAAATCTAAATCTTAGATTTTTAATTTTAGTCCCTAAAAATGGCAGACAGATAGATAGAACGACAGACAGACAGATAGACAGACAGACAGATAGAAAGACAGACAGATAGATAGAACGATAGATAGACAGACAGACAGATAGATAGATAGATAGAATTACAAAAGCACACAACAAAAGTACTAAAACTTAAAATTAAAATGAAAGCTAAAAATAAATAATACATTTACATTTAGTCATTTTGCAGACGCGACTTACAACTGGGGAATACATAAAGCGATTCTTCTTAAAGAGGCAAACAGACACAGGAAGTGCTCGTAATACCAAGTTTCAGGCATTTGTTCAAATAAGTACAAGCTAGAAAGGGAAGGAATAAATAAAGAGAAAGACAAAGTTTTTTTTTCTTTCTTTCTTTAATTTAGGATGAAGTCAAGTAATAATAGTGGTTCTTTTTTGTATATTTGTGAAGTTAATAACTTTAATTAAAAAGATGCAACATACAAACACACTACTTATTTTTATAACAGCCTGGCCTTCTGTAAAAATGCTGCAGTATATTTCATCCTATTAATAAAACATATCTTTTATCATTCCCTTTAATTCTTTTGCTGTCATTTTTGTGCTGTCATCTTCAAAAGTAGTTTCCTTCACGTGAAAAATCGCATGTGAAAGTTTTAGTGACGGCACATGAATTTTGAATAAGATAAGCACAGAGGCTGTTTATGATTGGTTGTGTGTTGTCAAACAAGTCATAATAACATTTCAGCACTTCATTATTTATTACTTAAGAACTTTATGTGTGTATTTGCAACGTTTGCAGCATTACTTGTATTATTTAAACAGGCTGATAAATCATGCAGTGTTATATATACAGTGGGTACGGAAAGTATTCAGACCCCCTTAAATTTTTCACTCTTTGTTATATTGCAGCTGGATTGTTTCGATAGAAAGGGACGCCCTGTGAATGTGACATTCCAGGTCACACCTTCTCCAAACTTCTTCTTCGCGATCAACCAGAAGGGGGCGCTGTCTGAGATGGGCTGGTTTCTCTACCCCACCTTTAGATTCATGGCCTGGCAAGCTCAGTGGTAAGAAAACTGGGTAACACTTTATTTTTAAGGTGTCCTTGTTGCACATGTTACATGTAATTACTATTATAAAATAAAGCAATAAGCCCCAAGAAGACTCTTGCCTAACAACGCCCCTTAGCTGTTATAAATTCACTGTAAACCACGGCTTCACAGGGCTTATTGCTTTTATAAAACGGTTATTCCATATACGTAGTAAGGTTTCACAAAATAAAACCGAGCAAATAAAGTGTAATGATATTAATAAAAACATTATTCTTCCACCAAACAATGTAGTTCCTCAGAATCGGTTGTGGTTGCAACAAAGTTGTTGCCGAGCAACACACAAACGTAAACAAAGGTGTATATTTCTAGAGTAATTTACAACAGCTTTGAACGTGGCTCAACCAATCAGAATCAAGGACCGGAACTATCTGTTTTATACACAATAAATTATGCATAATTACATGCAATTAACCCTAAACTAAACTAAACTAAACTAAACCCTAACCATATAGTAAGTACATGTAGTAAATTAATATGACTCAGTACTTAAAGGGGTCATATGATATTGCTAAAAAGAACATTATTTTGTGTATTTGGTGTAATGAAATGTGTTTATGCGGTTTAAGGTTCAAAAAACACATTATTTTCCACATATTGTACATTATTGTTTCTCCTCTATGCCCCGCCTTTCTGAAACGCGTCGATTTTTACAAAGCTCATCGGTCTGAAAAGCGAGGTGTGCTGTGATTGGCCGGCTATCCAGTGCGTTGTGATTGGCCGAATACCTCAAGCGTGTGACGGAAATGTTACGTCCCTTACCATACTGTGATGCCGTGTCCGGCCGGAGCGACGAGACAAAAACATTAAAACCCATTATAAACGAGGCATTTGTTGCATCCAGTGGGGATATAATTACGAATTATAATGACTTATACTGTCTTTTTACGCGTTGCGTTGCATATCGCGCCGTGTAAACATAAAACCATGTCTGCGTTTGTGATCGGAGAAATGACAATCAAGGACCGGAACTATCTGTTTTATACACAATAAATTATGCATAATTACATGCAATTAACCCTAAACTAAACTAAACTAAACTAAACCCTAACCATATAGTAAGTACATGTAGTAAATTAATATGACTCAGTACTTAAAGGGGTCATATGATATTGCTAAAAAAAACATTATTTTGTGTATTTGGTGTAATGAAATGTGTTTATGCGGTTTAAGGTTCAAAAAACACATTATTTTCCACATATTGTACATTATTGTTTCTCCTCTATGCCCCGCCTTTCTGAAACGCGTCGATTTTTGCAAAGCTCATCGGTCTGAAAAGCGGCCGTGTAAACATAAAACCATGTCTGCGTTTGTGATCGGAGAAATGACAAATAAAAAGTGCTACTCTACACTGCTCAAAATTCGTGTTTGAATCGTCAGTGGCAAATTCTTTAAATATAAAAAACATACTTACAGTCTGTGAGTCAGAACAGCCGGCATTGTAGTCTACTCTCCCAGGATCAGGAAACAGTCCTCCATAAAATGTGCTGCACACATCTGAATATTTGGGTTGAAGTGTTCTGGAACAGTGTTGTAAATACAACTTAACCACTGATTTCTAGTCGTGTCCTCTTTTGGAAGGCTAAAGTCTAAGTAGTTTCGCTTTTCGTTTTGCTTTTGTTTCACAACGAAACACACGGCAGGCTAGAGTGAGCGGCGGCGTGCGGGCTTGAGAACAGAGAGGCCGGCGGGCTTGCGGCAGCCACATGTGACGACCCCGGGCTGGACTCCGCTTCCTCCACGATGAAAGCCGATCCGGCGATCCACAGCACGAAGTTGATGTATTCCCTCAGCGACCAGCACGGATCAGCTCCAGGCATGACAAAGCGGATATCGTCCTCTTTTGGAAGACCAAACAAAGTAGTTTCGCTTTCACAACGAAGCACACAGCGTCTTCTGGGGGGCGTGTTAGAACGAGCCGTTTTAGGTAGGCGTGGCTGACTCTTAACTTTTATAAAGAATATCTCTTTGGATTTGAGACTTTAGTCTTTGCAACTTTACAGATCTTCTTTCTGCACCAAGAGCTTGTAACACTCCAAAGAGAAAGGAAAAATTGAAATTGCATAATATGACCCCTTTAAATGGTGTAATTACACGGTAACAAGGACACCTTAAAATAAAGTGTAACCGAAAACTGATATCTGGTTGGTGAATATTTCATCCACTTAACAGGTAATACTTATCATGTTTAAAACATTTGTGTGTTCAATCCACTCAAAACAATCTGTCTTCATGTTTAGTGCATGTACTGGAAACCGGGGCTAGTTGTCACAATTTGAATCGAGTGAGAAGTAGTGATGAATGTTGAATGTAGTGATTGACTGATGGCCAATGCCATGGGGATATCTGGAGAACTGGGTGCTGACAGCTGATATTGTGCTAATACTGTATGTGCGAAATGCTGATCTTAAAATCGTAAAATTGCTAAATATTGTCCAATTATTGTCCTGGCCGTTACCATCACTAACTTATGGTATCATAATTCACCTTTTTTCTTATGTCCAGTTCACATTTATTTAATTCTGTAGGTTCACATTCAATGAGGCTCTGCAGGAGCAGCTGAGTCAGCCTGCCGTTATAGTGCCTGTGTTTGATCGTCATCTGATGCAGGGAGAGACGGGAGCTCAAGCAGTGGTGGATCTGCCTGGAGGTTTGAGCTTCACATTAGTAACATCCACCATGACGTGACAGACCTATCATTCAAAGCTAGACATTTTTTTCTCTAATTCTGTCTGTTTTTGTATATAGATTTCATGGATTATGATATTCTGGAATTGGACGCCTCCCTGTCCTGTCCCGGCCGCAGGGACGAGACATGTGCTCACTGGGATCACACCGTACAGCTGTACGTATGCTGCGATCGCACCAGCCCATACTGCAACCTGGAGCTCGGGCGCTGGATAACAGCCTTTCGCAGGTACATGATCATTCGGTTTAACTGAATTGTTGCTGTTTTTCCAACATCGTCATTGTGGACATTAGAAATTAGCCTTAAAGGGTTAGTTCACCCAAAAATGAAAATTAGGCTGTGTTTTACTCACCCCCGAGGCATCCTAGGTGTATATGACTTTCTTCTTTCAGACGAATCCAGTCGGAGTTGTATTAAAAATTGTCTTTGATCTTTCAAGCTGTTTAATGCCACTCAGGGGGTGTTGCATTGCTTCAGTCCAAAAGAACTTAAATAAAAATCACCCATCCATAAAAAAAGTGTACAACTTCTGTGTACAACTGTTGGCGCAAGCTACATTAAAGTGATTATT